AGCCTGTAGGAGATGCCCTAAAGACTATATTGCGGGTAAGTTATTGAATAAGCATTTGGATAACATTAAAATGTCGCTAGAGATAAAAACACGTAGTAACAGGGTAAATTTGAAGGAGAAATTCGAAGGGACTCAATACTATGATCCAATTATGTTGGTACTACGTAAGAAAAAATGTAGATAAGATGCTAATGTATGAAAATGTCAAGTAGTTAGGTTAATAAAAAGAGATTGAATGACTTTCAGTGACCCAAAATTACGATGGATCCCCAATGAAGGTGGTGCAGTGTGTTAAGTGTGGGCGTGGATACCGCCCACTGGGGGACACCTGTGTCAAGTGCTACGGCTGCGACTGCAAGAGACACGAGGTGCACGTCCATGGTACATGTCTGCCAAAAAAATACGTCACAGAACGACCTAAGTACGAAGAGAATCTTTTACACCCAAGTTATCTGCTTGATATTGTTAAATACGAATACTTGTGTGTTGTAAGTACTGTCAGATTTGGCAACATTAGTTTTTTTTTAATTTGAATAATAAGATGAAAAATTATGCAATTCTGCCATTGGCTTTATTGCCATTATTATTCATCCATTAGGAAAGATTTTCGGCTAAACATCTTTGTCATATTTGATTATTATTTTCTTTTCCAACTAACACTTTTCTATAAGCTCACATCTAATAGTTTTCAATGTCTTTTATATTAGAATTATTTAAGTATAACGATTGTAACCTTTCAGATTTACAACATATCAGCTTGTCGCTGGCTAGCTAACTCATGTGTGAGCAATTTTTACTCTTCGGATCCTGCGGGAGCATGCAGATTGTGGATGCATCCTAACCTAAACAATCATACTAGTAAGTATCGACGTCAAAAAATCAACAAGAGTCATTTTCCTGTCACTGGGAATGAGAAGGAGATAATAATTATTGACTTTAATTACTTTAATATTTATCAGCTTATTTTTTCCATTTTCAGTTCTGCCAACACTGTCGGTAAATAAATCTGAATCGGATCAAAGAAAAGATGAAATACATTTATCTAATAGGCAGGTAAAATAAATCCTTAATTATTTTTGCCAATGAATCTGATATTACGTTATTATTTTATTGTGATTTTTCTTACAGAATACTATATTAATTAGTGCTATTAGTTACAAAATTGATGGAAACTTTAAGCAACATTTGGATCCACGTAAAAGAATCGTTCCTTGTCTTCCACCTTTTATGATAACAATTGGCGAAGATTATTCGTAAGTATTATTAAAATAACTACAGTTTCATAAAGCAACAATTCATCATGAGCTCTCTATACGTACCCACCGAGGGGCTCGGAGCCTACCCTAAGTCACGGGTGACTAGGCCATAGTCAACCACGCTGGCCAAGTGCGTGTTGGTTGACTTCACACGAGGTTTTCCTTCACCGTGAGAACGTCGGATAAAGGTACATATGTAAATCGAAAGACACATTGGTACAAGGCGGGATTCGAACCCAGGCCCTGCAGATTGCAAAGTGTTAAAACCCCTGAGCCACTGACGCTATCGAAGTTACAATTATTTACTATATATTTTCTTACAGGCTAGATTGTCCAATTAACATTTCAGAAGAGTTTACTTTGTATGATGAATTACATTCGTTATATATTTCCTCTGATAAAACTAGAAAACCAATATCTATATTAATACGAAAACCTAATGGACAATACGTAAAGGTGAGTGTTACAGTAAGGATATTAAAGCTTTAGATTGCAACAAGATTAACCTTAGGGTCTACCTAAGTAAGCATTTAATAACTCCGAGTGTGAAACGTAGAGTAAACTAAATAACAAAGATAATGACAATTTCAATGTTTATTCGTATAATGAAGAAGTTTCTCTATTTGTAGAAAGGCTTGTGGTATACGAATAAGTTTTCAAAATATTTCGTATTCCGTCGATCTCTATCTGCGTCATCGAATGTTACCAACTTAATTTATTTGAGAGAGATGTTGATACAAGTTCGGTAAGTACAAAACCTTTCTTTTTCGTAATATCTATTTAGGATATTGAATTTGTCTATGACGTATTTTTAGGACAATAAAAAGACAAACGATCAGAAGACTTTAATATCAAAAAATATATAATAAGCGACAACATGGAAATACGTAAAACCACACAAAACTTTGTCGTTATCTGGATAAAAAGATTTATCTTCGGTCCTTTACTTATTAGCTTTAGCTTTAAATAATAACTACTTACTTAGTGAAATAACTATAATTAATTTATAAATGCGATAATGGTTGAAACTTTATCTTATAGGATTGTGAGGGACCAGAATAACGTGGGCGCTTTAAAGATATATTTAAATGTGGAAGTTCATTATGCTATTAAATCTCCAGCATCTGATGTCTTCTTGATGTCTTTGCGGGTGACTAATGACTTACCAAGTGCTGGAGTTATACGGGGTCTGGAGGTAACTATTTAATATTTGACTATTGCTCAAACTACACTCTAGTATTCTACTAATCGACTACCAATACTAGACACCATTCCCACCAGTCTCTTAAAAGCAAATGATTTGCTGTCGCCCGCGGCTTCGTCCGCGCGGAATTAAAAAAAAACATAAGTATCGAAATCCGTTCAGCCGTTCTGTTGATACCTTATAACAAACATCCATCCATCTATTGAAACATATGCACATATAATATTAGTAAGATTTTGTCATTACTAAGTCGCAAATACATACTTTTTTGCAGATATGGGGCAGTATCCTCTGTATTCTGATGGTAGGCTACGCGTTGCTCCAGTGGCGCGGCGTGTTGCGGCGTGGTGGGCCTAAAGTATCGTTATTTCCAATCATGGCTGGATGTATCGCAGACGCAATCTACTTCGTACGATTTATTTGTATTCCAATTTTTTAAACGTTTTTTGAAGTGATTGATTATATACTAATGATATCTTTTAGGCCTTATTTCCACTAAACGGTAAACCGCGCGATTCACGCGTTGCGTTTCCATCCTATATTACAACAGTTGGCTAGTGCAAGTAGGTATATACTTGACCATAGATTATTTATGCTATCTATTTTATCAGGCAACCTGGACCACATTACTTCATGCATTGGCTGCAGAAGCTGGCACACTTGGACTGACATTACCATTAGCACAGTCCGAGGAAGAAGTGACGGCGGCCATGATTTATACAATTCTTACTTTGAAGGTAACTGTGGTATTTAAGATACTGAAATTACATTTATATTACTGTAAATTTCCATTATGTTGTAACCTCTTTACAATAAATGTTGATTTCTTTATGCGAGTAAAAAGGATAGCGATACGTTTTAATTTCACGACGGTGGAAATACACTTAACTATGGTTGATTTGAATGAAACTTTTTTTTAGGTTATAAAAGTGGCATACGTAAATTGGAAATTGTGTCGCTATGACATATTTTTTATCGATTGGTCTGAGTACAATCCATGTTTTAAAGGTAATATTATTGCAATATTTTACTATTAAAATGTATATAATTTATTTATTTATTAATAATACAGATACGTTGTTATTTGATCAATCAAATGAGAAGAAAAAAGGGATTTTAGCAAGGGAATGGATCGAGATGCATACAAAAAGAAGAACATCCCCTACACTTACTGTTATATTAACACTTCTGACTTTACATGTACGTATATTTTATATTTTTTATCTTTAAATGAGCAATTCTTGTTTATATATTATATATATAATTGGAATCTCGGAATCGGCTCCAACGATTTTTATAAAATTTAGTATATAGTGGGTTTCGGGGGCGATAAATCGATCTAGCTAGGAATCATTTTTAGAAAATATCATTTTATTCGTGTTTTATCGATAATCAACTTAAACATAAACTTAACTTTTTCTATCGGTAAGATCGAAAAATATTATTCATATTTCATCATTTTATTAATGATAAGTATTTAAATATAATTTCCAAAAAACATAATTTAAAAAAAATACCGATCGGTCATCCAGATTTTATTTATTACGTACCAACTTATTACAATTTGCCAATATTATAATAACAATTAAAATTTCTTTTTTTTTTTTAATTAATTTCTTGGACTGTCCTTATTTAATCTAAAACTTTGTTCGTCATTATGACGGCAAAGTTTAATTTATTTATTAACCCTTTTATGACTGGAAAAAGTTACTTACAGTTATTAGTTATTAATACTTCGCCCTTCATCCCTTAGTTTTCTAAAAAATATTATTTTATTTTATAGCTACTTCGACCTTGGCAATTGATAATGCCCAACAGCGAAGGATATAAATGGGCCATTGCTACTATTGCCTGGTGGTCTTCTTATATAATAGTTTTCTTGACCCAAATGGTTGCAGATAGGCTACTAGGATCCTTCCCCATTAAGCTCCAAAAGACTTGTACTGGTTTAGAAATTTCCATGTTGGTATTTCAAGAAGAATTGTATGCACATTACGTCCATGGTCGGTGAGTTTTTTTTTTAGAGTAAATGGTGGTAAACGCGCAAGCAACCAGCTAAAATAGCGAAGTGACTGCTATCCACAGACATCTAGATCAGGTTAAAAGGTAGTAACGTAGGTAGAGTCTGTGGACTCGGATTCTAAATTATCAACAGAACCATCGACAAAAACACTTTTTATTTTTTAATAGAAAAAATAATGTCTAATTAAAATTTTTACGTCCTTAGCAATGATGAATCATCTGATACAAGATATTTGTCAGGTCCTTTAACGACTTGTCGGGTATCGTGTGCGTCGCAATTTAGGTAAACGTAAATCCTTTTATTAAAAATTAAGAAATAAAAAAATAGATTAATAATGATTTTTAAGTTTTAAAGGGCCATCTGTAAACAACTCCTTGAAACAGAACAGCGTAAGTTTAATAATTTTTAAATGTTACTAATTTCGCCAAATTTCGCTATGATTTTTTTTATAAAATATTTATTTTACAGATACTTTAGAAAAATATGAAAACAAACAAATTCTAATATCAAAATTCTTAGCAGCTTTCTTTGAAAGAGTTAAGTATTTTAATTTTTTTAAAGACTTATTAAAATACTATTTTTTAACAATATTTTTTTTCACAGGCTCTAGATGGTCTGAGCTGGGTGGCTAGTGAACGAACTGTACTAGAAAAACTTTTAGACTTGGAAATTAGAAACCGAGAAGGTGGCAACACTAGTATTCTATTGTATGAAACTGACAATTTAACGCCATCTTGCTTTGCAATCACGTGGTAGGTGAATTTAAATCTTTTGCTTATATCATAATAACACATTATACAATTTATGGAGTCTATCGGTAGCTTTCATACCTATTTAATTTCACCAACAGGTGGGGTAATGAATGGACACTGGCAACATTCGATTCCATAGTATTTAGTAGTGTACTATTTTCTACCAAGAATACATTAAATGCCGCCTTCGTCACTATAGCACTGTGGCAGGTAATTGATACTACGTAAATAAATATTATAAGCAAAAGGAAACCGATAAAAAATAATTATTATTACAGATAATAAAATACACGATCACATGGCTGGCCATTAGGAATGTAAGGGAGAAAATAAAAGTAAAAGGTCTTTGAATCGTAGACTAAAATTGTTTGGAATATGGCTACCATAAGAAAAATATCTTTTTATTGTTACTTGTGCGAATTTTTACTTACATTACACAGAGGGACAACAATAACGCTAATTGGGTGCACAGATTACAAAAGATATGTTTTAAAATGTTACCCTTTTTTTAATATAAAAGAAATCAAAAATATATATAGAAATGAACGGACAAGCGACATTAAACAATATGTGCGAAGACTTGACAATAATGTATTAAGCAAATATTTCATTAGCGATGATGATTTATATAAGAAATATCTTAATCGATTTCTTAATAATAACAAAGAACAAAACGAAGATATGTCTGGGGATTTTCCATCAATAAATTCATCGACAACTCCGCCACCCACTTCTCAAAAGGGTTATTTTCACGATTTTATAGTAAGCCTCTGTAAAATAATAATCAATGATCTGCCACCATCAAGAAATCGTAAATTATTATCAATATTAAAAGTTAATCTCAGACATCCACGATATGAAATACCTTTTCGACGTGCATTGCGAATTTTTTCAAAGACAATCGATAGAATGACGATTTTAAAAAGTGTAGCACTAAAACAGAAAGTTCGAGAATTTTTATCATTTTTCAGAAACAAAAAACCAAGAAAGCGAGACTTTCTCGTATTACTAAATTCAATCTTTAATGTATATGATAGTAACAAAATGGACGAATATCTTTACAGCTTAAAAAAATACGCTGTTAGGAAAATCAGCAGTATTAGACGTAAAACAGAAATTGTAATTCAAAAAGTTATTATTCATGGAATACATAAACAACCAAAGTCAGTAAAAAAGGAAATAAATGCTAAATTCCGATTAGCGTTGATAGAATACTTGGAGGAACATAAAACGTAAAACCACGTTGATTAATTTTGAAGCAAACGTTACATTATAACGACTGTGCCGAGCTACACGTGACTATGTGACTAACGTTACAATGAACAATGGAAAAAAGATTTTTATCATTACTTTTTTTGTGGTTGTACTTAAAATTGTGTGTACAAAAGAAAATGCTATAAATATAAGGAGGAATGACTTAGATTCGTATAGGTTATTTTATGATTTTTTAAGTGATTACGTTGATTTATTAAGAACTTCATTTCCAGAAAAGAAACTTGTGGAATATTGTAGAATTGTAAGTTCATGTTTAAATGGTTTGGACTATAAGTACGGTAGAAAATTTCATAGATATGTTAAAAGACTATGCAGAAGCCCTGTGCCTGATATAAAAGAAGAGATAATATCCTATCGATACGTTTTAGATCAAGAGCTACCCCATCGAATCGGTTTCCTTTCTACTATGGACGAATTATTTTCAATAGATGATAGAATTATGTTTAAGGATTACATAAATGATTTGAAAGATTATGGATATGGAGATAAATTGTACATATATAAAGAAACTCATAGAATTATTTACCAAGTAATATTAGATAATATTACTAGCCGTAGTGCAAACCATCAAAACAAACTAGCGTTAAAACTTAAAAGGGCTATCAAAGAATATAACCAATACACGTCTTAGTTTAATGCGATGCAAATAAATGATAAAGGGTTACGATTGTCTTACTTATTGAAAACCTTGGAAAGAAAACTCAGTAATTAAAGTCGTGAAGAACAATTACTCATGCCCATAAACCAGAGACCAGATGAGGCAAAGATTATATAGACAGGTGAGGTTGAAGTACAATCACTCCACTATATACCATTGTAAGAGTTTTATTAGAACCGATGGAGCTCAAGAGGATTTAGTTATCTTATTCTTCGAGTGTTAATTAAGGTTCAACTTTATAATACTGATTAGTCCTTCCCTTTAGCGGCACTTAATCTAATCATTCTATAGTATGTAGATAATAAATATAAAAAACCTTGTACTTCTTTTATTTACCTTAAACTTCGTTTTAAACTGTGTAATACCAGAAGCAGCCCTTATAAGAAGGGCGTGACATCAACGATAAATATTGTAAAATACCTATGACTTCAAATTAAAGTGAGATGCTGTATCTATTTCTTAATTGCCTTGTTTGATAGCTATCCACTTTTATTCCGTTTTTCTACATACATCTTTTTATAGCCCAAATATTGAATAGTTTACGATTTACTTTACCAAATTATGTAGCTATATCCGGTACAACATAACGGTAGGGTATAACCGTGCTTTTATAATTTTGTTGCCATGAATTAGTAAAAAATACTTACCCCTTCACACCAACATTATATTTCGATATATAAAACGACAACCCATACTATAAATTTTTTTATTCATTTGTATATTGTTAATAAAATATAATTTGTCGAAAAAAAAATTAGAGTCTATAATCCATAATTCGTGTTAACTTGAATGACACCTACATATTTTGTTAATATACTAGCAACACTGTAGTCATCGATAGGAACAAATGAAATACGGCAACGTCACGCACTTCTAAAGTGGAAAGAGACTATTCATTCGGCGTTTTGAAACTGTAAATTTACTATTATACATTAGATTTGTGTTAAAATGGCAGACAACAAGAGGTAATTGCTTATTATTTTAAAATAGACATTTTACAAATTGGATAACACCATTAAATCAATGAAACCGTGATTACTGTAAACTCAACATCAAAATTTAGCTTGTCATCATGTCTCATTGCAATATTACAATACAAACGAAAAATATTCACATGTTGAATAAGTATCAATCAATGTTTTTACGAATAATTGTGTTTTGTGTTGTTGTTAAATGTGTAAACTGTTGTTTTCCACATACTTTCAATATTCAACATTAGTTGCTTTAATTTTCCTCGCAATGTAATCGATTATTTTGTAGCCCTGATGATTTATCCACCGCGATCCTCCGCCGCAAGGACAGGCCGAATCGTCTCATCGTGGAAGAAGCCGTCAGCGACGACAATTCCGTTGTGGCATTATCACAGGTCAGATTTCCTTTGTCTAATTAGTTATACCTAACAGTACTAAGGTTACTTACGCAAAAGCATTCTGATAGGAAAAATATTTCGGAATTACTGCCGAACATGGATAAGCGAGACTCCAAGGGACCGCAATATTTTTCTAGTTTATAGAGGTTTGTCATTAACCCAAGTTTTTCACCAATAGAAGTTGTCCATCGGGCCTGGACAATGACTTGCTTTCAGAGGTTTCACGCGTATCTATGCTCGACTTTATAATTTGTTTAGTGTTGGCTCTAACATTTGTACTTTGCTTCATATTGGTGTCAAAGATGCCATGAAGCTATGACTTTGAGGTCATCACATGATTAAGATGATTAAGCAGGCAGGTTGATCTTCATGCTTTTCTTTCCTATTTATCATTTGCTACAACATTTTAGGAAGAGCTAGCTTAACATTGTTTTAGAAAATATACATGGACTTCAGTATTCTTGATGCTTGGAAGAACTTTTGATGTAGGCTTAGGCATTTTTTTAACAAATGGGTATATCATTTAAATCATTCATCAATCATGTTTCATTTGAAAACTATGTTAAATGTACAAAATATGAAAACACACAAAAAAATCCCTCTGCCTCATTTAACAGATAGAAAAACATTGTGTGTGATACATTTGTATTGATAGGGGAAACCAATTATATTATACAACACTAGCTGTCGCCCGCGACTCCGTCCGTGCGGGATTAAATATAGATGTTGGCAGATTCCCAGACCTACTCAATATGCTCACAAAATTTCATGAGAATCGGTCAAGCCGTTTCGGAGGAATATGGGAACGAAAATTGTGACACAAGAATTTTATATATAAGATTTTTATGGAAATAACTTTTATGGCTCATACCCATGTTTTGAATTTGCATGGTTAACACATTCACATCAAATATGTTATCTCCTTAGTAAAAATGAGACCACAGCATATTTTTATCTGAATGTTGTGTGTGTCCAAGTCACTAATACACAATAGTAATGTTTGCTTAACATAATTTTATATCTAGATTTACTTCATACCCGTTATGGCAGAGAAGAAAAAGCTATACTACTAACTAATTTATTTTTAAACTCTTAAAATCTCTCTCTACACTACATTGGTTGTAAAATTCCTACCATTATTGTATTCAGAAAACATTATTTATAGTGAACCTCATACAAATTTGTGATGGTAATTTATTGTAATACAGTTTTGTAACAGAAAATTCTAAATTCTTATTCTATGTTCAGACACATAAAATTAGATACTGAAATAGGACATTCAATAGTATTATTTTGCGTTCTTCACAAAGGATTTTTAACATTCTTAATTTCTAATGTAACAAATATCGATACAGGCGAAAATGGAGCAACTGCAACTATTCAGGGGTGACACCGTTCTTCTGAAAGGCAAACGCAGGAAAGAAACTGTTTGCATTGTGCTCTCAGATGATAATTGCCCAGATGAGAAGATCCGCATGAACCGCGTAGTGAGGAACAACTTGCGCGTCAGGTTGTCAGATATTGTATCCATCGCTCCATGCCCATCGGTCAAATACGGCAAGAGGGTACACATCCTGCCAATCGATGATTCAGTTGAAGGATTAACTGGGTGAGTGGTTTCAGTTCCTATAACCTACAATTGGTGCAGATGTAAAAAAAATGTTAAGGCTTAATTTTAGTCTTCTTTCCATTCCCATCCTTTTCTTATAAAGGAATGATGGGAAAAGGAAGTGAATTTGATGGACAGGAAACATCCTCAAAGGATCTTATGTGCATCCCCTCCTCTATCGATTAAATGTATGCAATGCATCTGTTATTGCGGTTGTTTCGCTATTTCGGCTAATAAAGTTGGTTGCTTGCTTCTTACTCTGTAATTTTAGGTTTTGTTACATTAATAAACATATAATAGAATATTAAAAAGAAAAGTCTGTAACAGTAAAAGTGAAAGATATTTTCAGATTGTCCTATTTGTAACTTTTATTTTTTTCCTCACAAACAGAAACTTGTTTGAAGTATATCTGAAGCCATACTTCATGGAGGCGTATAGGCCCATTCACCGTGATGATACATTCATGGTTCGCGGTGGTATGCGCGCTGTTGAGTTCAAGGTGGTGGAGACGGACCCCTCGCCCTACTGCATTGTTGCGCCTGATACCGTCATACATTGCGAGGGTGAACCAATCAAGCGTGAGGTCAGTTTTGCCATGTTTTGCTTTATTTTCTACACTTTCAGCACTTTAAAAAAGCATCATTACCATTGTTAAATATTGTGCAATCAGCAAATTTTTGAGCTAAATTCGTGTTAAAAGTGTGTTCTCATATCAATTAGTTAATATACTTTTAGAACTTAAAAAGGTATTATTTCTGGCATGTTTTTCTGATTATTTTGACCAAGTTTTGTTAATTCTTATTTGGACTGACTCATATGAATATTTCCTAATTATGTGTTAATTTTATTGTGACCGGTAACTATGACCGGCCCAAAGGGAAACCCCACTGTAGATGTTAACAATTACAATGCCACTGAAACTTCACATTAAACTAGCAGGACAGTTCAATGGTAGTGAACATATTAAAATGTCTTCTTCATCACTAGGAGGAGGAGGAAGCTCTGAACGCGGTGGGTTACGATGACATCGGCGGGTGCCGCAAGCAGCTGGCGCAGATCAAGGAGATGGTGGAGCTGCCGCTGCGGCATCCATCACTGTTCAAGGCTATCGGCGTGAAGCCCCCGCGCGGTATTCTCATGTACGGCCCGCCTGGAACTGGCAAGACTTTGATTGCCCGCGCCGTGGCTAATGAGACAGGTCAGTTTTTACTTACTAGATCTAGGTTTTCATGTCGACTATTATTTAGAATAATGAATAATATTAAGTTTTTTGTTCATTCGGAATTGTTTAATAGTTACATAAAGTCTCTTATATTTTTATTTTATATCTGATATTAAATTTACACTAAGAGACTCTCTTAGCGGCAGTAAGTCAGTATTAAATTGTTGTTTATGATGTGTGCTGCATAACCACTTAAAATTGACAGCCTACATCAAAAATAATAAAACTGGCAAAAAAGTAATGCTAGGATGAATAACATCTGCTTTATACATGAGTACTAATTAGCTTCAAGAAAAAAAATGAGTATTTTATAAAAAAAAATTTTTGTTTAGGTGCATTCTTCTTCCTGATCAACGGGCCTGAGATAATGTCGAAGTTGGCCGGCGAGTCAGAGTCGAACTTGCGCAAGGCCTTCGAGGAGGCGGACAAGAACTCGCCGGCCATCATCTTCATCGATGAGCTGGATGCCATCGCACCGAAGCGTGAGAAGACCCACGGTGAAGTGGAGCGTCGTATCGTGTCGCAGCTGTTGACTTTGATGGATGGTAAGTTTTGTTACCTGGAGATTAGTCCATTCTTCCTGCTAAATAAATGTGCTTGAAGGGTATTGCTAATAACATAACATTTTTAAATTCCTAACATAATGAAGCCATTGCAACATTTGAGTTATCTCAAACTAGCGGTCGCCCGTGACTCCGTCCGCGAGTATTTAAGAAAACATAATAACTTTTGTGTTCTTTCAGACTATGTTCTATATGTATGGCAAATTTCATCGAGATCCCTTCAGCCGTTTTGGAGATACCTTCAAACAAACATCCATTGTCCATTCATAAAAGTTGGTAATAACTTATTTCTATTATTTATCAGGTATGAAGAAGTCATCGCATGTAATCGTGATGGCGGCTACGAACAGGCCGAACTCGATTGACCCCGCGCTGCGTCGCTTTGGTCGCTTCGACCGTGAGATAGACATCGGCATCCCCGACGCAACCGGCCGCCTCGAGATACTGCGCATACATACCAAGAACATGAAGCTTGGTGATGATGTCGATCTGGAACAGGCTA